TCATGAGGTCAGTTTCATTTGAATCTTTCTCAGGTGTTGTATTCATAATTTTACTTTGAGCCAGGTTTCTTCAGCATTTTAAATTTGTATGTGGTGCCCTCTATTGCCCATAGCTCTACTCTCTGGAGCTACTCAGCTCCTAAAGCTATGTTGGGAGCAGTATTGGTGCCTGGGGGCAGGAAAGAGCTGTTTCCTGCTTCCTGGCTGCTGCGCTTGTCTCCACTGCCAAAACCAGTGGGCGAGTACACAGGTATAAGCCTCTATGCTTTCCATTTGTAGTTGCTGTAGATGGGGCTTCCCTCTGGCTGGGCTACTGCCAGGGTAGGGTTTGCCAGTTTGCGATCCAGGTGGGGCTGGCCAGGAGAAAAGCCCAGTAGGCTGCATATCACGGAGGGGGTCCTTTAAGCTGTCTAGCCAGCCAGGGAGCTGAAGCACCTGAAGATCAAGAAAATTCCCAAACTGCTGGGCAGAGTACACCTGGACAATTTTGTCTGCCTGTCCTTTCTCCTGAGCAGTAAGCTCTGTGCAATCTTTGCCCCTTTAGCAGCCCTCTTGTTATTAGGAAGTCTTTCAGACTGCCAGCCTTTCTTTTGTCCCAGAGCAGCCGAATATGGATCCCTGCTTTCCACAAGCAGCTGGAATCTCAGTCTCTCCAGGTATTCTGCCTGTATTAGCTTTCAAAGCCCCCTAATCTCGAGAGCACCATGAAAGCACCATGAAATGTAGGTTTGTGCTCCCAGTGCAGATCTCCGGAGCCAGGTATTCAGCAGTCCCAGGCTTCCACTCCCTCCCTGCTCCATTTCTCTTCCTCCCACTGGGGAGCAGGGGTGGAGGAAAGGCTTAGATCCTGCCAGGCCATGGCTTTGGTACGTTACCCTGTTCTGTGAGGTTTGTTCTTTTCCCTTGGTGTATGCAGTTTGGCACAGCCTTCTTTCCTGTTGCTCTTTCAGGATTAGTGGTATTAATTATATTTTCACATTATATGCAGTTTTAGGAGGAAGCCTCTGTCTCACCTCTCATGCTGCCATCTTTAATCATCCTGGATGTGTTTCTATGAGGTCATTTATGTTCAATTAAATGATAATTTCTGGAACACTAGGAATGAGTTGGTTGCTTAACTAAGTTGTAACAGTAAAACAAACTCCTTAACTCCTTTCTCAAATTGTTACTTTATGTAAGAAATGTAGAACCTGATATTTGTTATGATTGTCCCTTTTTCAAAATACAGAAAGTTTCATTTAAATGTTAAATGGTACTGTTGGCATCTTATTTTCTTCTATTGCTTGTAATCCATTATCATCATTCATTTTGATTGTCAAATTGTTCCAGATTTGACCAGTAGGAAAAAAAGGATGAATTTAGGGATGTGGATCAATGGGTCTCACTAAGGGAGATTGTGCCCCTTTTAGGACATTTTGCAGTGCCTGGTGGCATTTTTGGTTCCCAAATCTTGGAGTTGAGGCCAAGGTGATCAGAGTGTCCCACTGGCATCTGTGATTGAGGCCAGGGATGCCACTGAACATCCCATAGAACCATAGCAGGATTACCTAGCCTCAAATGCCAGTAGTGCTGAGGCTGAGAAACCTCGATACATAGAAATAGATGGAGGAATGGTAATGTAGTTGTGGTATATTGATGTCACTGTGAAGGATATAAGGGAATTTTGTACTATTTTTGCAACTTATCTTTAAATCTGAAATTGTTTTGAAAATTTAAAAAGTTTTAAATGGGTAGTGTTGGCAGTTTTAATACCCTGCCTGATCTGTGGCCTAGAGATAAAAATGACTGGTCCCTTTTTGGGAATGTAAGTTCAACTGTCATTGCCAATGACCCCTGGGGTCACAGTGTTCACGAGCAGGAGGGAAATTGGCAGAGGTCCCAAGTGCCTACCTGGCCCATGACTGTATTTGTTCGCTCCAACATGAGAACACACATCCCTCGTGTTACCGTCATGTTCAGACAGAGACCTGATGTTCTACTTAAGCTGTTCTTTAGAACTTGGAGTTGGAAGCCATTGATGAAGAATGCCCCTGCCCCCCTCCACCTCCCTGTAGCTGTGCCTTGTCCCCAGGCTGCATCACATTTTATATACATCTCACCAAGACTTGTTCTTAGATCTCCTTCATGATGTTATACCCTGGTCACACAGCAGGAGGAGCCCTGCCTTCTGTTACATGTCCACGTGGTGTAGTGGTAAGAGGAAGTCAGGCTCCGGGTCCACACTGCCTGTTCCACCTCTTACTAATGCATGACCCTGGTCATATTATACAATCTGTTTGTGCCTCAATTTTCTCAACTGTTAAATGGGGAGAAAATGGCACCACTCAGAATTTAAATGAATCAGTACATGTAAGTTGATAAACAGTGGCACATATTAAGACCTTAATAAGAGTTACTTTTCATTCATTCATTCAGTCAGAAATTCACACACTCAAAAGTATTAGAATCATTTCTGCCTCCCCACACCCCTGCACAGGGCTCCCTACCCTCTCTGTTTTGAAGGTGCAAATGATGTACCCCAGCTGTCCAGGTGCTTCCTACAGCCCTGTCTCTGGTTCTTGCTGTTTCTATTGCACTGACTCAACTCAGATGCCTACTGAGACTCTCCATGCTTAGTGGAGGGCACAGAGATTGGGGTTTTTCTTTTAGACCTCTGTCCCTTTCCCATCCCATTCTAGCCTATCCAACTCCGTTCTTCCATTCATTGGGTATATCCTGCAAGCCATACACTATGCTAAAGGCTTTTATTATTTATTTGCTTTTCATAAAACCCTGTGTGGGATGGAGGCCATTATTCTCTTCACTTTACAATTAAGGAAACTGAGGCTAGGAGAGAGGTTAACCACTTTGCCCAAGGCCACAGAGTTAAATAGCTGTATGCTTTTTCTGCACTTTTCCAGTAAGGATGTACTTTGAATTGGGGAGAACACTGCTGTCTAACTGGAGGTAGACTATAACCTAATGAGTTGACGCCATTCTGGTTTTAGCTCCTTGCAAACTACAGAACCTGCAAGACATCTGCACAGAGGAGCATTTAGCTTTGTCATGTGCCAGGGGCCACGTGAGGGGCTGAGATGTGAAAATAGATATCAATGTTGGGCCTCTGTGTGCTTACTGTCTCAGTTATCTTTTACTGCGTAACACAGCATCCTAAAACTTAATGTCTTAAAACAACAATTTATTGTTTTTCATGATTCTGTGGGTTGCCTGGGCTTACCGGACAATTCTTCCGCTCCATGTGATACTGTTTAAAGTCACTCATGTGACTGCATGTAGCCGGGAGCATGGCTTGGGGTCCATGATGGCCTTCCTTACATGTCTGACAGCTTTCCTAGCTGTTGGCTGGGGACTCTGCATTCCTCTTCATGGCCTCTCACCATGTGGTCTCTTCAGTGGGGCAGCTTGGATTCTCTGCATGGTTGCTGGCTTCCAGGACAGTACAAATGGAAGTTCCATGGCCTCTTAAGGCCTAGTTATGGGAATCACACTACATCACTTCTGCTGCATTCCATGGCCCAAAGCAAGTTACAGGGCCAGCTTCAGGACTGAGGGAAGACCCTGTACCTTTTGATGTAGGGAATGGCCTGGACACCAGAGTGGGGAGGAAGTATAGCCATCTTGGAAAACAATCCACCGCACTCCTTGTCCTTCTAGCTCTTTAGCCTGAAGAAAAGAGTTTTAGAGCCGAAAGGTCTCCTTAACCATCCTCTGATCCAGCCCCCTGGTTTCAGAGGTGCAGAAACTGAGACCTGGGGAGTCAAGCTGCCTGGCCTATGCCAGCACCTGGGGAGGAGCCGGGCCTGGAGCCGAGCTTGTCTGGATGGTCACAGCACCTGTGTATGCCGAGGTATGCTTTGCTTTTCCTCCAGCAGAGGATGTCTCTGCAGAGTTCTGCCTGACTCAAGACTGTCCCTGTTAAGTCTGGAGACCACATGGGTTTAGAAGAAAGAAGGGATCTGTGTTTACTTTTCTCTCTGTGGCTGGCACCTGCCTCCCTGTTCCTGGGCTCGACACTTTTCAAGTACAGTTCTGGCTTCATACACCAACGTCGACGAGGCATACCTTACTCAACACTGCCTCGTCCACACCTTGGGACATGAAATGATGCTGGGTTTTACCATATGTACAAAAACAGCTGCCCAAACCCCACCAAAGGTTATAAAATGAAACCCAACACATTTGTGTAACATTTTAGAGTAGTCTATTATACTATTAGTGCATTTTCTAAAATCCACAATTACTGCATTATGAAATGTGTTGCCTGTTTTGAAATGGAGCAGATAAGGCAGAAATTATTAATTTCCCTCAGTATAACCTTAAACCTGGAAATAATTAAGATGTACTATTTTCCCTGATTGTTATGATGCTATTTTGAATATTTCCAGGGTCCTGGGTAGAGGACAGATACTTATTTTGTATTAAAGACAATATTTGACCAAATACCAAATCCTCCAACCCTCATGGGGTCTATTATTGAGGGTTAAGGTAAATAAGAAGTACAATTTTTAGATTTATATAACTCCATGAAGACCACAGATTTCTAAAGAAGAGCTGGTAGAGACACTGTGTAGGAAAAAATATTCACTTGATTCCTGCTGTATTGAGTAGATTTTATATTGAATAAAACACTTTTTTCCTATTCTTATAGTATTTACTATTTTTGTAGATTAAATTAGAAATATTTATTATAAAACATTTAAAAAAAACATAAGCATGCAAAATAAAGACTACCCATAGTCTTACCTTGTAGTCAAAAGCATTGTTAACATTTTTAGTGTATGCTCTTCCCATCAGGGAAGAAGCAATTGATCTATAGATTGATTTAGAGAGGATGAGATATAAATATAGATGATTTTCTTTTAAAAAATAGGATCATACTGTAAAAATATTTTGCTGAATTTTTTTATGTTTTGTTTTGCCTAAATATGGCAAGAACATTTTTCTATATCAGTAAATATTCTTTTGCTGTACATGGAAATAAATCTCTCTTATTTTGACAGGACAGTGATATTGAAGCACTGATTAGGTGTTTGGAAAATGTCCTGGGTTGCACCGCTATAGGTAGTTATTTCAGATTCCCAAATAGTGATAGCTGCTGATTCTAATGGAGTATCCAAGAAGTAGAAGGCTTGGAAGGAATCTTACTGATATTTCAGTCCAGCCTCCTCGTTTTACAGATGAGGGAACCGAGGCCAACAGAGGCTGACTGTCTGGCCCAAGGGCCAGGAAACTCAAAGAATTACTTATTAGTGTAAGTGGCCCTTAGGCTCCAAGGAAGACATTGAAATTCAGTGGTCCACTGTGATCAGGCAGTGTCCTGGCAGAGCGCATCATAATAGGTTTTGCAGTTTCCTGGAAGAGGGGTCTCTCTACCTCACTCATCCTGTAGGAACAGATTGCATTCACCTGGGAAGGACCATCACTCTCGGTTAGTCAGTTATTGGAAAAGATTCAGCGTGAAAACACAGCTGAAATTCCTTTAGCATTGTCATGGGGTTGCTGTGCTTCAAGGATAAACCCTGTTTCTTAGTTTCTCCTCTTTTTTTAATCCCCAAAGCCCAGCTGTGCTACTTTCCAGCATGATGACAAACTGTAAGACCTGACACAGACAGAACAGCGGAGGACACTCTCTCTTACAGGTCCTGGGGGAAAAGGGCTCAGAATTTTTTTTTCTTTGAAATTTGATTGTGAGTTTTGTTTTAAAGTCTTTAATTGCATGGCCAAGAGCAATGTCAGATGTGCAAGTATTCACCACTATTTTATTAGGAGCTTTGTGTGCGATTTACAGCCTTTATCTAGCTTACTCTATGTTTCTGTATGTGATGCTTCAGCCAGCGCACAGCTCCCTGATGTTTCCTCCTGGCCATCACCCTGTGATCTGTCCAGTTGTGCATCCCCAACACTTACTGGGTACACCTACCTAACAACAATGGACCTGTAGGCCAGGAAGGCCTTTCCTTTGGCGGAGACCCGTTCCCTCTCCGGACCTCAGAGCAGATCAGTAATTTTCAAACTGGTTCCTTGGGGCCCTTCAGGAGCTGGCAAGGAGCGGGTGCTGAGAAGCTTGAGGACTGAAGCTGCGTCCACACCGCTCATCTCCGTTTCTCCAGAGTCTGATACTGTCTGGTGCAGGCGAGGACGTTGACAATATTTTGAAATATTCTAAGAGAAATGAGATGCAGACTCTGCTCTTTTACCAGTTTCAACCAAAATAGTTCCACTCTTATCTGTTTTACAAATTAGATTTCCTCATAAGACTGTATCTTGAAAAAGATAGATTCCACTGCAAAAAAAAAAAAATCAACATTGGATTGGATAGATGATATCCAAATTCCCTTTTATAGTGTATGATTTTAGAAAACCGAGTATTAGAAACATGGGATAAAATTGTACATTTATCTGCCTGAAGTACACTCAAGTGACAGAAAAGGAAAGAAACTGATACAGGCCTACAGGACAAAGGGAGCAGGAGAGGAGAGGTGGGAGAGAGCTGTTAGGGAACTTGGAGACGGAGAACATCTGTGCATGGTGGGTGGTTAGATGGCAGAGATGCCTGTGGAAGAGAGAGGGCACAGGGGGGCTGCAGGCGTGGGGATGACGGGGTGTGGTCCTGAGCTCCTGCCCAGGGAGATACAGTGGGACTCTCTTACACAGAAGGATAGTATTGCTTGTAGGACTCTGATCACTTCCCTACGGTTACAGAGAAGTTGGAAAAAAATCTCATGTCGTTTATAGGGAATGAGCTGGCTCAGGTGGCCAGCACCTGTTTTGCTCTGACTACATTTTGAGGAGATTCACAAGCTAATACTTAAAGCTTACTAATCACTGTGCTTGTTAATATGTGTCAGGATCCAAGGGAAAATTTTAACTTCATTGTGCTAAAATATGAACCTTGTCACTTAAAAACGAGACCTCTGTGAGCTGAGCCAGACTTTACTCACATTCGGCATCAGTCTATGCATTTTGGAAATGTCCACTTGCCCAATGAGCATGTTAAGTAATTAAGTGTTTCCCACAAACACTTTAAGAGCTTCCCCAATCCTCAAAAAGAGAGGAAAAGCAACAGATGTGAACATCCTTTCTGGTTATTTGGACCAAGCAGGTTCTAACTTTGCAGGCCTGAAAATGTTGGGTACAGGCCCAACCCCATCCTCAGCCACAGATTTAGCTGTATTTCTACTTAAAACGGGGACAGTGATATTTTCCCTTCCTGTCTCACTCAGGAGTGAAGAGGCCGAATGAGTTAGCATTTGTGCAGCTTCAGAAGATCCTGAATTAGAAGATGCCCTTTTGAATTCCAAGCTCAGTATATTAGTCTCCTCTGCACATCAAGGTCATTTAAAGCCTTTAGGTCAGTTGTTCTCACGCTCGAGCACACGCCAGGACCTCAGAGGGCAGTGCAGGTCTGGTGCCTGCCCGAGAGGCTGTATTTCTCACTCACTGCACCTCTGAGCTTTCACACAGCTTGACCTATCTAAAGAATACTTCCTCCTCCAGAGGAGTGAGTGATATCCAGGTCCAAACCAATGACTTTAAAATCCTTAAGCACTGAAATTCTTATTGTGCACACCCACTCCAATTTATAATTCAAACAAAATATTACAAAAAATATATTACAAAAATATTATAAATACTAAATTGTAGAGAACTTGCCTATAAGCTAAAATGTAAAAAGCTGCTTTCTAGATCTTTCTCTGTGTTGCTGTCAGTGTGCACTAGACTATCTGGCACTGTATACAAGAATCACTGAGCTTCAGTGGAGCCACTATCACATTCTTGCCTCACCCTTAGCACCTGTACCAGATATTTACGGAGGTCTGGTGGGTTCAAAGCACTGGAAGAAGAGTCAGATGTTGAGATTTATTTGGAACATGGTCCCAACCACCAGGTGGGGTCCTGGGCAAACCAGTGCAAAGATTTTTAATAAAACTAGAGAGCACCTACTAGGTGCTTCTTTCACACATGTAGGAGTCTCATCCCAGATGAAGGCACTTCATTTCTGAAGCCTTAAATTCCCTCTGGAGTTTCTCATGGGGTGTGAGAAGCAAGGCCATTCATAAACAGGATGCTGGATGAGCCCAGGCAGAATTAGAACAGGGAAGGAAAGAAGAAATTAAAAAGGGAATAGGAAAGGCCAGAAATGAGGGCATGGCAGGGAGAACCAAGAATGTAGGTAGTGCCCAGTTCATCAAGAAAAGATACTTTAAAATATGACATTTCCATGGTTTACATGTGTGCTGTCTTTACCCCCTCTTTTCTTCCCTACAAATGTTTATAAAGCACATACACTAAGCCATATATCAGAGTGCTGAAGCCCCTGTGTCAGTGAACTCCCAGTTTAGTCAGGAGGACACTGTGATGAGAACAGCACATTGGGCAAAGAAAGTGGGGACATGGGTCCACTAGTTGGGGTGCAGCCTGGAGAAGACTTTACAGAGGGGGTAAGGTTTGTAATGTCCTGTGTCTGTGATCTTATTCTGTGTACTGTGCTCAGAGTCTAGCATATAACCTATGTGTTTTTTCAATAATGAGTGAATGCAAAGATAAATAGAGTTGCCAAGGGATTGTAGGAGGAATATTCTCTAGAAAGGTCAAGCTGTGTGAAAGCTCAGAGGTGCGGAACAGTTAGGTGTATTCGTGGAACTATCAAGAAGTTTGTCCTTCTGGAACATAAGGTGTGAGGAAGGGATCAGCAAACCCAGCTATGTAGGGCTAAGGTCATGGAGAATGTTATGTGCCAGGTTAAGGAGCTGGAACTTTATCCTGTGGATTAGGATACCATTGGTTTTTAAACATGGTCAGAAAAGACTGCCTTAAAAAGCAATAAGGAGGATGCTTTGAAAGGAATGGCTTAATATGGGGAATAGTTATGGGATCCCATCACACAGACAACAGATGGTGTTGCTATAGTAACTGTTCAGGCCCATGACTACTCAGTAGGGACAAAAGGTGACCTCTGACTTCCTTTTCATAGGATTTAGAAAGGATAATTCTGTCTTCATATTTCTTAGTAACCAGATTATGAACCAAGGCACCATAAGAAGTTTAACATTTTTTTAGTGTTTGGAAAATTAGCAGCACTTCTAGAGAAAAGTCATCTGCAGAATGATACAAGTCCTTGCTAAACTATGTTTATAAAAAGCCTTGCTTTGTAGACCCAAACATAAGTAATTAGAATATAAAAGATACTTCAAAAACCTCTGGGCCCATTTAAATTCCTTTAGTGTGTTTATATGTCTGATCAGTTTGGCTTTTTGAAAATTGTTACCCCTCAATTCTTCTGTTGAACCTTGGTAATAACTACTTAATCTCTAAACAGTGTGACTGATATAAATCAGAGAAAGCATCAGGACTTCTGAATCCCTTAGAAACTTTCTTTTCTTAAACTCTTCAAACTCTAAAGCCATTAAATGTAAGGATGACTGACAGCCATTTAACCTTGCATTACTGGGTTTTTCACCTTGACAGAAATAATTAGAATTATTTCAACATCATGTTTTATCTTTGGTTACTGACACATTGAAACCATTACATTTAGAGAAGAGGATTTGGATCATAAACCACTTGAATCATTTTGATGTGGATACATAACACACAATATCTGTCCCTTTCCCTTCTGTTTATGAATTACAGAAATTAGTTTCTGTAAGTTCTTTAAAACTTGAAAGGCTGTAACAGATTCAGAATTAATGGCAATTTATAGAAAACCTGTTATATGTCTGCTACCATGCATGGTGATGGGAATTCAGTAGGAAAAGGCTTTGTAATATAATTAAGTTCCTAAAACAATATTATCAATCACTTTTCATACTTTTAGCAAAGAGCACTCTGTATATTACTGTTATCTAGGAATAAAGTTCCAGTAATCAAGTTTACGTAAGAAAGAAACTCAGCAATCATGCATTCACTCACTATTCACACACTAATGATTTCATCAAAGTTAAGATACTTGTAGAGAAATGGTATTAGGTCACAACGATGTTAGGCCTGGGTCCTGCCATTAAAGATTTACAGTTTCAGAGGAGGCTAAGACAGGGGCCTAAATAACTATATAACAAGAG